TACTTCAGTGTTTTTGCCTCACCACAGTATGGCTATTGTTTTTTATTTGTAGGAGTGTACAACGTATACTGTTTGGGCCTCATTTTTGGAAGTGCTGCATGCACATGGTTCCTCTTGACTTCAAATTGACAATTCTGGATGTTCATGCTTCACCCCTATAATGTACTGTGTCTGGGCAGACCACTGCACTCTATCACAGCGTATTGCTGGCTCAGGGACTGAGCCAGTACTTGGAATATTTGAAGTGCTATATGAACATTAGCTAAGTTAAAAAACAAAACAAAATGATTTCCCAGTTTGATTAATCTATTCTAGCATGCAATTTTTGTTAATTTAAACCAAGATATTTTCCCTCAACCATGTCTAGATACCCTTTTGTCAGTTACATTAGATCATGTCCAAGTCAAACTTAATTGGATACATTTGAACTGAAGGAAAAGCAATAAATGGCAATTCAGAGTCTCTTTGCTAAAAGATAAGTTTTATTGATCTCATTAAGAAGAAAATTGCTGAATATTGTGACTTTACTAGAGCTACCGTGAATCATCAGATGAAGGCTTGTACTGTAAAACAATACGAACAAAAAACTTTGATTGCCATTCAGGAGAGGTGGATTTTCTAGGACTGTGGAGGGATTAATAGGGGAATAAAAACACTTTACAACTTTTATAAAAATCTATATTCATCAGAATGCTTCAAAGATCAAAAAGATCTTGCAGAGCTTTTCCTTTCAGTTCAACCTCCCTACACTAAACTAGAAGGACTCTTGGACCCTCCAATTCCTACTGAAGAAATTTCTCAGGCTATTCAGTCTTTTAATAATGGCAAGACACCTGGGAAAGCAGCATTCCCATTCTAATTTTGAACATCTTTTGAAGAGAAATAACCCCCCAAGTGCTTGTGTAGATTTAATCATTTGCTTATACACTTGTCAGCAAGCTTTTTCCCTGTAATAGGAAGGCAATTAGCTGTGCACTAATTTATTATAAATAAAGCAAAGATCTTGTAAAACACTCTAGTTGTCAATGTCTCTCATAACTGTGACTATAAAAAATTCTTACTATGATCCTAGAGAAATACCTGCCACATTGATAAATACTGACTAAGCCGGCTTTATTAAAAACAGAGTATCATACATAAAACAGAAAAAGCTGTTGATTATATTTGGAATAGCCAGAGATTTATGGAAACCTACTGAAGCTTTTTCTATGATGCTGCAAAAGCTTTTAATAATCTAGTAAGGGATTTTTTTCATATGCCATATTGATCCATTTTATGAATTCATCTCCTACACTATACTTAGTCACAGTATTACTCTACATGTAAGAGCCTCTTTTAATCAGTGATAAGGAATGAAAAAAGTCAGAGAGCCTCAGATTAGGCAAAAGTGCATCGAAAGGTTGCTGTCTTTCCAGTGTGCTGTTCATTCTGATCCCATGATCAGATTCTGAGAATGATGTAGAAGGCATATCTATGGGTGAAATGACTATAAATCAGCATGTAGGCGGTTGATCTGCTCTTAATTGTAACAAACCCAGAGTTATTTCTGCTGTAGACACTGCTCATAATGGAACAGTTAGTGAAAAGGAGGGGTTTTAATCCTATTTTTTAAACAGTTCAAAAGAATGAATTGATTTTTTCAGGACACAGCAGAGCAACAACTGCCCTCCCATGTGCAAATGATTTGCCTTCTGCCCCAGCCTTAACACTCTAGCCAGCATAGATAGCCAGGTGAAAGGTGGAGAAGTAACAATACTCCAAAAGTAGGTAAAATAACCTAATCCCTTCCAGAGTAAGAAGGGACTGGGACTCTTTCTGGGAGCAGCTTTGAGGCTCAATCCAGCCCAAGATATTGTTAAAGTGTAACTCTGAATGCTAGTACATGTTATTGGTTAACTGGTATGTGGTTAGACAGAGACAACAATAACACTTATTAACAGAGAGGGCTGTACACCCCAAAGGATCCTGAAGCACTTCCACAAATGCCTGCAAACTCATAGGGGATTGTTTTTTCACCTGTAATATGAAAAACAGCAGCAATACAATCCTACAGAGTACAGTTTCAGGAGAGTCAGTGCAAAATAACGCTTGAATGTAACCAAGTCAAATGTACATGTCTGAGCTGAAATTAAGTAAAGCAATTAGAAGTAGCACCTTTATTATTTCAGAAGGTGTCCTAGCAACTCTAGTCAGAGGCACAACTTCACATCTCACCAAAAAGATATTAAGGGGAAACCTTTATTTGATAATATTCAGCCTTGTAAGGTGGAACTGATTCCAAAACACATGTGCATGGCCCAGCACCGTTTTGAGATCTGGGCTGGCAACTGGGGAAGATGACCCAAAATTACATGACAGTAGCCCACAGGCAGTGTCTTCTAGAGGAGCCTGCTAAATCAGAGCTGGAGAGATCTCCTTCTGAGGACCCAGGGTAAGAGGGTATGTCTACACTTAAGAGTCCCAGTTTGAGGAGACTAAAGCGATGAGAGAACTAGAGAGGTGGGAGAAGAATGACCCAGATGTGCTGTTGTAGCGTTCTTAAGTATCATTGCAGACAAACTCTCCTTTGCCCTATGACTGCAGAGGTATTAATTAGCCATTTCATTTTGAATGGTTTCTTGCAATATGCATTAACTCCTTGGCTATGTCTACACTCCAGGCTTCTTGCGCAAGAACTGTTTTGCGCAAGAGTTCTTGCACAAAAGTTCTTACGCAAGAGCATGTCCACACTGCCATGTGCTTTTGCGCAAGAGCGTCCATGGCAGTGTAGATGCTCTCTTGCGCAAGAAAGCTCTGATGGCCATTTTATCCATAGGGGCTTCTTGCACAAGAAACCCCGATGCCCGTCCACACTGCCTTCTTGTGGAAGAGCTCTTGAGCAAGAGGGCTTATTCCTCATGGGGAGAGGAATAACTCTTGCGCAAGAAGCCTTCTGTTCTGACGCCTTACTGTAAATTTACTTGCACAAGAACGCACATGCAGTGTAGACGCTCCACATGTTTTTCCGCAAGAACATTTGTTCTTGCGCAAAAAGCCTGCAGTGTAGATGTAGTCCATATGTTTAACAGTCTGTTTCACTTTGCATTTAGCTGGGAGACTCTAATTACCTTTCCTAGACTGAAGAGCTCTGTGAAGCTTCAAAGCTTGTCTCTTTCACTAACTGAAATTGACCCAGTGAAAGATCTACCTGAACTCTCATATATCCCAGGACCAACATAGTTACAGAAATAGTGCAAACAACATTTTGAGACCTACCAGAGAACAGCCAGTTTTTAATCCATTTAACATGGTCCATGTCGATTTTAGATTGTTCTGGTTTTTTAACAATAAAATGTACTGAAGTTCCAATCAAACATCTAACCAAAGTCTAAGTATATTCAATCAAAATTATTACCATCATCATCAACCAATTTTACAATCTGATTTTTTTAAAGTTATCTGGTTACTTTGATCTATTTTCTATAGGCTAATGCTGATTCACATTCATTATACTATATAACCTTCCTTTAATTTTTTATTAATTGAGTCTCAGATCAGCTGCTCCACTATCTTGCCTAGGATGTATATAAAAAGACAGGACTATAATTACTTGTATCATAATATTTATCCTTTTCAAATACTGGCACAACATTAGCTTTCTTATAATCTTCTGGAATTTCCACAATGTTCACAGGCTTGTTGAAAATCAACACTACCATCCAGAGTAGTCCTCAGCCAGCTTTTTTAAAACTCTTGGATACAAGCTATCTGAACCTGCTAATTTAAAAATGTCTAACTTCAGCAGACAGACTTTAACAGCATCTACAATTCACCAACTGTGTCTTTCAGTGTTCTTTGTTCTGTATTCTGCACAATTTCCAGAGATGAATCCTACAATATTTAGCCATACACACACAATACATTGTTTACAAACCCAATCAATTCAAAGTTTATGTTTATACCATCACAGGAGAATAAACAGACTTGGGTAGCAGAATCAACTGCATCTGATGTTAAAATATTCAGATAAGAAACAGTCAGAGATTTAGAAAAAAATATGTAGAGATACTTTAGTTATTGTGTATTGTTTGCCTTAGAGATGACATGAATGAGATAACAAGATAAAAATATTCAACATGAGGAAAGCTATAAAAAGCTACATCTGGTCACTTTTTTAATGGGGGGGCTATGCCAAGATTTTGGCAAGTGGTGAAGGGCCACACTTCTATGGAAGGGGTGTAGGGTCTGGGATGGAGGTTGGGTGCAGAAGGAAGCTTGGGGTGGGGGACTAGGGTGCAGGAGGGGGTGTGGGATCTGAGAGGGAGTTTGGGTGAAGGAGGAGTGATGGCTTGGGGTAGGGGAATGGAGCGCAGGGTCCAGGAGGGGGTATGGGTGCAGGAGAGCATTCTGACTTTGAGGAGGGGTGTTGGAGAGGGTGCATGGTCTGGGAGGGAGTTCTGATTGGGAGAAGGGGGAAGGAGGTACAGAGGGTTTGGATGGTGGCCTGGGGCAGGGAGTTGAAGGGGAGAGACAGGTGGGATGCTAGAGGCAGGCTCTGGCTAGTAGGTGCTAAACTAGATGGCTCCTAGCCAGCAGCTCTGCCAGGAACCTGAGGCAGGCTGGCTGCTGCAGTCCCAGGCTTGTGGGCTGGATGTACCACATGGCTCTACTCTGGGTTTGGGTGGGGAGAGGAGAGGAAGGGAGGCTTCACATACTGCCCCTGCCCTCAACAAAATTTCTCAGCTCCCCCATCGACTTTCCTTACTCCTTGTAACTTGGTGGAGTAACTGGATCAATGGGGACATCATCAGCAGTCAATTTAGTGGGTCCTTATCAGACCCACTAAATTGAACCCTGGGAGATTAATTTCCAGAGCACTGATTTCAGGATAAGTGAACGCAAGCCTTAAACCCACTGTCTTTTTCTCCAACATTTAAAGTCCCCAGAACCAGAATAGTGTCTTCCTGTACATGTTCTGATCAACACTGACATCATGACACTCACATTTATTTATTTATTACCTTTCTGTTCAGAGCCACACCATCTTCACAGTCCAGTACAGCACAATCTACATTTAGAGATGGAATTTTCTTTATTTTTCTTTCATCATCTGCAGGTACATATAGCACAGCTCTCCTAGGTACATACTTGTGAGAAGGCTTGGAGTGCAAACCAAGTTTAGGAATATCAGCTGATAGCGGGAAACTTTTCCTGAAAAAAAAACAACAGGAATTTAAGTTACATTCCTGATTACAACTTAAAAAATATTTAATGTGTTTTTTTAGAAGAGGATATTCTTACTGAGGTACAACTCCTCAGCTACTGAGACCAGAATCTATGTCATGAGAAACCGATCTTACAAAGAAATACATTAAAAAACTACACTGAAAGAACATTAAGGTTGCAAAGTAAAATATTCAAAAGTTAGGAAATGCTGGAGTTAGGGTGACCTGCCCCCTTTACTCCATCTTTTAGAGCAGTGATCACCAACCAGTAGCTCGGGATCTACTGGTAGATTTTGGAGCCTCTGGCAAGTGATTCTAACTGGTTGGTCCCCGTGGCTATCAAGTGCTAGCTGCTCCTCCTCCCACTGCTGCATATCTCTGGCCCTTTTCCTTGGAGCTGTTCCCCCAGGAGTCTCCTGCTTGCTTGCTGTGCATAGCAGGGGAAGGAGAGGAGGGAGCTAATGTCACGGTGCCCCCTTTTCCCACCCTGTATCCTATCTCCACAGAGCAGAGAGGGGGTACAACAGGACTAGGAATACAGCAAGTTTGCTGGCTTCTTTTGGGAGTAGTGCAGCGCTAGAGCAGGGGTGATCCTGCCTTAGCCCCACTACACCATCAGGAGCCACCTGAGGTAAGCAGTGCCCAACTGGAGTTCACATCCTGAACCCCTACCCAAGTCGTGAACTGCCTTCTATGCCTCAAGCCCCTGCCTTAGCCCTGAGCCTCCACGCATTCAAATACACTTCCAGAGCCTGCACCTAGAACCCCCTCCCGCAACTGCCTTCTATGCCTCAAGCCCCTGCCTTAGCCCTGAGCCTCCACGCATTCAAATACACTTCCAGAGCCTGCACCTAGAACCCCCTCCCGCAACCCAACTGTCTGCCTCAAGCTCAGCTCAGAGCCACTTTCGCACTCCAAATCGCTTAATCCAAGACCAGAGTCTGCACCCCAACCTGCTGCCCCAGACTGGTGAAAGTGAGTGAGGATGAGGGAGGGAAGGAGGATGGAGTGAGCAGGGGTGGGGTCTCAGAGGGGCAAGGAGCACAAAGGAGGTGGGGCAAGGATATTTGGATTTGAGGTAGATCTTGGCTTGCACTTAAATTCAAAAAGTGATCTCGCGCTTAAAAAGGGTGGAGACCCCAGCTTTAGAGTGTCTCCAGCCAGGCTGCTTCCTTTTATTCTTACTCTGTGCTTCTCACTCCTACTCTGTCCTAGTTCTACTCAATCCTAACCCCCTCAGGGTGCACCCTTTAGCCTGCTCCTATTCCACTAATTAGTTTGATTTTTCCTTCTCCATTTTGCCTGGGCGCCATCAGTGGAGGCCGCCAGAACACAACAGTAATTAAATCAAAACAATAAATAATAGAGACATTCTCTCTGCTCCCACTTGTGGCCCCTGATGGAATTGCAAGAAAAGCTCTACTCAGGCACTGCAGCCTAGGAAGGAGCATGTGCAATCCTGTTGGCACATAAGATCTATGTGAAACATGGCCACAGCAGATGACATCTTCAGAACAAAACACTGAGAGCCATAACAAACATCTATTCACTGTATGCAACCTGCAATTTTCAGAGGCTTAAGACTTAGTAAACTTGAGTGGACACCACAAGGAACATCCATAACACTAAGCCTTAGGGCAGGGGTCAGCAACCATATATGGCTCGCAGCTCAAGCACAGCCTTGCATTGCTCCCCCTGCGATACAGCCTTGTGCCCCCCACAAGATTGGAGACAGAGCTGGCTTCCTGCAGGGGGTAGGGGAGTGGAGAAAGCCCCAAGTCTCGCTGTGCGATCGGGGAAGAAGCCAGAACCAGAACCAGATCTGTGCATACGCTCCCTCTCCTGGCTGGAGGACCAGACACGCTGTCTGGAGGCCTTTTCCGCTGTTTCATTGCCAACGGAGCAGTGGGAAGCCATGCCTGGGACAGGGAGCCTTAAAGCAGCGCAGGGAACACAAAGCAGACCTGGCCGCCATCTTGCCTGAGAAGAACCCGCTGATGCCATGCCTGTGTCCCCACCCCTGCCATGAATAAAGATAATGTTGATTTTGTGTTGGACATATTTTACTTTAAAAATGAAACCTAGCTAACAAGCCACCAATTGGGGCCCAACCCCCATCTGGCCTCAGCAGCATAACACTCCTGCACCCTCCCACATCCAAGCTTTGAGTACATCATACACACAACCCCACTGCCTGAGCCTCTCCTATACCCCAATCCATACTCCTACACCCCCACATCACTACCCCTCTGCTATAATACTCCTGCACCCCCACACACTCCAACCTTGTGCCCCGAGTCCATCATACACCCAGGGGCTCGACAATCTATGTAATCTACTTGCCCAGGGCAAGTAGATTACATCCGGGAAGAGCCAGGTTCGGGCGATCTGCACATACGCAGAACGATCTGCACATGCGCAGAACGCCAGACAGCACGGCTGGCGAGCGGGGCTCGCCGCGGCTTGGCAAGCCCTGTGTATGCATATATAATTTTTTTGTATATGAAGTCAGGAATATTATCTATGCATTTATTACAAACGTGTTTACATCTGGGGAACACGCACTAGGCATAATTCAATCAGTCTGATAGCTGGCTGGGAAGGAGAACAAATCGGTTTTAAAAGATGCTAATCTCCCACTGGGAAGCTTTGCTGAGCATGCTACAAACAGCCTACAAGTTATGGCTGCTATGGCCCTACAGAGACATGTGACCAAGTCATCTGATACTGGACTCCATCACAGAATACTAGTATTTTTCCACTGTAAGGCATGGGAACTAAAACTGGGAGACAAAGAGTTCCTGACATATGCAAAAGCTATTTAAGACATAGAAAAAACATCATATGGTTCTTCTCCAGTGACTCTCCACAAAAAGGAAACACCTGAAAAACAATGAATAAACGGGGGGAGAAGAATTGAACCAAGGCTAGAAGGATCTCTAGTCTGTGAAAGGTATACCTGGGATTTTACACTGCAAGACCAGAGCAACTTACACTCAAGAATCTCTGCAAATTGCCTAAAACAACATGTAAGGTGTGAATTTGCTAGTCATCTTCAATTTCAGTATGTTTCAATATGTTCAACTTAGATTGATGTTTTCTTTTATTGACTAAAGAGACCTGCTTTGATTTGTTTGATATCTCTTATAATCAATTAAAATCTATCTTTAGTAGTTGAGGGAGTGGGTGAATACAGCTTAAGCTGTACCGTTCTCTGTGCAGTGCAAGACAGGATAATTTTGGAATTACTCTCCAGATAGGGTATGCACCAATGAAGCCAGTTAGTGCCCAAACTCCACAGTCTTCCCATGCAGGGGCTGGTCAGAGAGCCTGTCTATATATTATTACAGCTGGGCGTGTCCCTACCTCTGAGCTGGTGAAAGTGTGAGACTGAGAATGTGTCACAGCATTACAGGATGAGTGGCATCCTAGGCTGGTGGGTCAGAGGTTGCCGTGGTACCCAAGTTTTATGCGGCACGAGGGTGGAGGAGGGGCAGAACCCATCACACTGCCATCTAGAAAGAGCAGAGAACAATGCTTAAAGGCAGTAGCTGCTGGCTGGCTGCCCAGCTCTTAAGACAGTGTGGTGCCAGCAATAGCACAGAAGAAAGGGTGACAAAGTGATATTCACCAATATTACTTTTCACAGTTGACTTAGTGCCCCTTTACCAGTTTTACTTCTGCACTACTGCTGCCACCCAGGGGCTGACAGCCACAGCTCTGCTGCCTTCAGCTAAATGGTTTTTGGGAAGGAGAAAGGCAAGAGCCCTGGCCAGGGCTGCCTCCCTCTAAGGAACTGGAAGGGGAAGAGAGCCCAAGACCAGGTGCTCCCTTTACCCCTGTCTCCCAAGAGTACATAGCCCATCTACATGAGGCCCTGGCACCTGTAGCTGAGAGCTAGAGCTCTTAAAAAAACACACCCCACCAGCTCATACTTCCTTTGACACATTCCCACACCTTCCATGGGAGACCATCCCCATAGTTTGAGAAGCGCTGCACTAGAGTGAGTCTCCTACCAAATTTCAGGTCCCTGTACCAAAGCCTGGAAGCAGTACAGCTTCTCAATGAAACAATTGTACAAATCTTTTAACGTGTGCAAAACAACATATTTTCCCCTTATCACTGTTCATAGAAATGGCCAAACCTTTCCAAATTAACTGGCCTGAGGAGGACACCTACGGTATGTCTACACTACAAAGTTAATTCGAACTAACACATGTTAATTCGAATTAACTTTGATAGGCGCTATACTAGCGCTCCGCTAGTTCGAACTTAATTCGAACTAGTGGAGCGCTTAGTTCGAACTAGGTAAACCTCATTTTATGAGGACTAAGCCTAGTTCGAACTTACTAGTTCGAATTAAGGGGTGTGTAGCCCCTTAATTCGAACTAGTGGGAGGCTAGCCCTCCTTAGCTTTCCCTGGTGGCCACTCTGGCCAACACCAGGGAAACTCTATTGCCCCCCCTCCCGGCCCCGGACCCCTTAAAGGGCCACAGGCTGGCTATGGTGCCCGTGCCAGGTGCAAGCCTGCCAGCAACCAGCCAGCAGACCCTGCACCTGGCACGGCACGAACCAGCCACCCGCTGCTACACAACCCTCCGCCTCTTCCCGGGACCAG